GGTTTAGGGGGCCTGAGTCGTTGGCAACAGTAGAACCAAGTTATAATTCCCTACCCTAAACCCTAAACCCTAAACCCTAAACCCTAAACCCTAAACCCTAAACCCTAAACCCTAAACCCTTAAGCGCAGCATATTCTACCCAGGGACCCGATCGTTGCAATCATAAAGGCCCTTACACTACAGCGCCAAATGATGCCGTTGCACCTCCACACAAACCCATAAATCTCTAAACCCTAAACACGAAAACCTAAACCCCAGAATCACAAGCTCCCGAGCCCGAAACCCTAAACCCACAATCTCACAGCCCCAAACCTTCAGGACGACATGAAACCTAAAAGGGTTTCAGGTTCACATGCCATATAGGGATCCAAAGTATATAAGGGTATAGGGCCCCTAAACCCTAAACCCTAAACCCTTAAACCAATGTATAAGGGTCATTTGGTCCCCAAGGAACCACAAACCCACAAGTGGTCCCTTCGGCCTCACCACCTCAAAACACGAACCATGGACCTGGTCCAGTTTAGGGTTTATAGGGTTTAGGGTGTTTAGGTGTTTAGGGGTTTAGGGGTTTAGGGTTTAGGGTTTAGGGTTTAGGGTTTAGGGTTTAGGGTTTAGGGTTTAGGGCCTAGGCACATACATATGGAGGTCTAGGGTTCAGGGACCAGGGTTCTTGGATTTTTTGGGTTTAGGGTGTGAGTGTGTGGGCATGTGCCTCCGTGTGGCATGTGCGCCCGTGCGCGTGCGCGTCGGTGCACACGTGCGCATGTGCGCGGGTGCGCACGGGTTCGCGCGGGTGCATGTGCGCGTGTGCGCGTGTGCCTGTGTGCTCGTGCATGTGCGCGTGCGTGTGCAGGCGTGTCTGCGTGTGGGCGTGTGGGCGTGTGGGTGTGTGGGCGTGTGGGCGTGTGCACGTGCGGGCGCGCGCGTGCGGGTGCGGGTGCGGGTGAGCGTGCGTGCGTGCATGCGTGGGTGGGTGGGCGGGCGGGCGGGCGGGTGTTTGTTTGGGTAGGTATGAGTATATAAACATATATATATATATAGACATTATATACATATATACATATATACCTTTATCTGTATATAAATATGTACATTTATGCATATATATATATATATATGTGCATCGCGGTATATACACTATACAAGCGCTTCTACATAACTTATACTACCAGCTCGTTGTGGTGCGTCACACCTGGTTGCTCTATGTACCGAGGTGGTTGCGCTATGCCTCATCTGAGCCTTTTCCGAATGGACTATGCAGCATTTGGGCTGCATTGTGGATCAAGAGGATGTGACTAAACCTTAAACCCTAAAACCTAAAAACTTAAAAACATGAACACTAGCTTCCCAAGCCTTGATGAACCAAACCCAGCAGTGTCTTTCTGGAGGGTAGTGTGCGGGGTGTTCTTGTTGCACGATCCTGTGCTTTCTTACTCGCTCTCCTACAATAGAGTCTTTTAATTTGCCTTGTTGCCAAGCTCCCTGGTCCAAAAAAGAGAACCCTGCATTATGATACAGGGCGTACTACAGAGTCTTGAATAATCGGTCTAAGCACTTGTCGCTACAATCTTGTTACACAGGTGGGTCGTGATGAAGACGCGCCCCTCGCCAGATTAAAATTCCTCAAAACCCTGTACACATCCGCAAGGGTGCAGCAAGCCCCTACAAGTAGCACCAGAAGGGTTAAAGGGTATGGGAGTGAGTGTCTAGAGCCCGGGGTTGAGGGGTTTTAGAAGTATTAGGGGTAGGGGTTTAGAGGTTTAGGGGTGTCAGGGTTTAGGGGCTGAGTGTTTACGATCTAGTGTTATAAACAGGTTCGGGTCAAAAAGTTAGGCTGGCGAATTTCAAAACTGCTGCAGTCCACTCGCGCCGTGCATGACGCGATCTACTCGGGAATCCATGTCCACACTGCGAGTAAAAGCAGTAACCACATTGAAGCTGACATCAATGATGCAGCAAACGGATTGACAATGAAGTGGTAGATGACGTAGAAGTCAATCACCAAGTACATGGCCCACATTGACATGCCCATCGCTGCAATGCCAACAGACAGGCAGAAATCCAAGGGTCTGCTGCACCACCGAAATCGCAACCGGTAGGTCACAAGAGTCAACAACTTGAAGATGATAGGTAATATTGCCAGACACTCGATGGCCTTCTTGATGAGCATAGGTATCTGCAAGTCCTTTCTTGTCACTTGTCCAACATAGACAGTGTCACAGCATGCTAGGCGACGATGAGCTTCTAATTGTGGTTCCCATGAACCCCTAAACCCGAAACCCTAAACCCAAAGCCCTACTGAATCCTAGACCCCACCCTGCAAAACCCTACAACGAAACCCTAAAACCACAAACCCCGACAGAACCCTAGACCCTCCAGCCTACCAGAAAGAGGTAACATACGAGCCTTAATCATCAATTAGAACCGGGTTTTGGGGCATATTCTACTATANNCCCCCAAAAAAAAAAAAATAGTATTGGTACTTATTTGGGCCCCTATAGTGCGTTCAGAAGCTCAGTCCGACTGCGCTGCTGCGGCCAAGAATCTGGTGGAACCCGCAACATTAACTCAAGCCCGGACCAAATTAACGGCGATCCTGCCAACGCCATCCTGGGTTGCTTTCGGGGGTTTGGATTAGGCTTCAGCATGTATATAAAGCGCTCAGAGTATAGAGTCTCGGGCTGAGGGGGTTTAGGATTTAGGGTTTAGGGTTTAGGGAAGTGAAAGCGCCTCCCGCAATGATTTATGAACAGATATACCTTTACAGGACCATAAGGGAAATCAAAAGGTTTCCCAAAGTGCAGGCTAGTATCTCGAAGTATACGATAAGATGGTTCCGCAACTTATCTGCAAGAGCTATCCGCTCTTCCGATCGAATCCGGCTCTCGAAACTCGACACATACCCAAACCAATTCTGTATGCAGGTTTTCATGATCCTGCGGTCGCAGACCCGCTTGTTGCAGACATCCGTCTGCTCTGGAGAACAGCACGCCTGGGCTTGGTTTCTAGATTTGCATACGACATGAAAGGTGAAAAAAAAGAAATAGGATAACAATACTGGATGTTTCTCCACCGCATGCCGCCAGGACACACATTTGCTGTTGGCCAATGCAAAACTCAGCATGTGCTGCTCCATCATGTCGATGTCTCGCCAGTATGCGCGGACAGTGCTTGCGACGAAGCTAAAGAAAAGGATGCCCGGCAATGCTAAGCAAGCAATGACTACCATGGTCTGGGACGGCTCGAAGAAGGAATCTGCAGGCAAGAAGTACAGGAAAGCGATCATGCACAAGCTGGCATGCACAGAGAGCACGATAACTCCGGCTAGTGGTGAGCGTGCAGTCACACTTGCCGAACTGCCCGTTCGGCTGTGCAAGTAAGCTGCCATTTCGAACATGCACCAAAGCCTGGACACGAACGTCTGATCCCAAAGCACCAGCAGCGACTTGGACTGCTTCAGTATAGCACCCAGACTGGCAAGACCCTCTGCTTTCAATATATGGTCGTGTTGACTTATGCAGGCGCAGTCCCAGAAAAGTATGGTGCTGGGCCTCCACCTGAGCAAGGTCAAGTAATATATGAGGCAGCCAGACAGCAGACACCAGCCACCACCCAAAACTTCCAAAGGTGGCAAGATCGAATGCTGAGATAGAACATTAGCTACACTGGCACCCAGCGTTCCCAAGACCATTGCCGGCAGCCCATTTCCTCAAAGTCTCACTGGGAAAAACAGTTTTGTTTGGCGGGTTAATTGTAATGAGAAAACTGAAACAAAAAGCAAACTGGAGATCACTGAACAGCCTCGTTACGCAGGATGAGTAAGTTGAGGTACTTCTTCCATGCAGGTGTTTGCCAGCTGTGCGACACAAACATATCAATTTCGCTCACCACTTCGCTGTGCCTGGGGATGAATCAGAGCAGCCGAGCCTAATGTAGGGGCCATGACAATTAGAATCTGGTTTTGGGCCATATTATACTATAGTTTTAATAAGGAGCCCCCAAAATAGTATAGGTAACTATTATAAGGCTCTTTTATGAATTGTAAAGATTACGGTTTTAGGGAGCCAATTCGGGCCGGGGGTTCAGGGCTTTGGGTTTAGCGCTTAGCGTTCGGGGTTTAGGGCTTTTAGGGTTTAGGGTTTAGGGTTTAAGGACTTGGCCCAATTACAGAAACTTAAGCTACGACAGCACCAGCACGGAGGCAGGGCACTACTTTGTTCGGACGCCCCTGCCTGTACATGTCTTTCAGACGCCCATGCCACCATAGCCAGGGCGCATGATGCAAGATCTTGCCGAGTCGGATCCCTCGGACCGTTTCCGGTCGGACCGCCTGCATCGACGACACGAAGTCCGCATACTTTGCTTCCTTGGCCGGCGACTGTCACTGAAATGACTCACGAGTTACACCCTAAACCCTAAACCCTAAATCCCACAGAACATTTTGTTGGCAAGAGTGCTCGAGAAAGGTTCTGCCAGCTGCCTTGCTGTCAAGCGCGAGCTAGAGACCCGACATCCCAAGTGACCCCCAAAGCCTAAACCCCTAAACCCTAAACCCTAAACCCTAAACCCTAAACCCCCTAATCCCTCTCCCTGAATGTAAACTGTCCCTAGTCGGGCTTACGCTCTCTTTCAATGACCCGGCACAATATGTGTGTTTAAACCCTAGGGTTTAGGGGTTTAGAGGTTTAGGGTTTAGGGGTTTAGGGGTTTCGGGGTTTAGGGGTTTACGAGTTTAGGGGAGAGTGTCGGAAGGATGGTCGTGAAATCCTTCGCGCCGAGCGACGCCGAGCGCCGCCGAGCCCGCCGAGCGCCGAGCGACGCC